AGACTTCCAGGTATGCCCATACATACACAGAAGGAAGGGGAGAGGATGGGAGTATCACACCGCACAGGGAGATAGAAACACATCGGAAGACTTGACCATGCGATATGACAGAGTACACTGAAGGTGCAATTCACTCCACAGAATCCTTACAACCAGTCACAAAGGAAAGCCTAGTAGATCACATCAGGAAACAATGAAGCAAAGATAGTTCAGACACAGTATCCACACTGTTGATTAAACTCAGAGTCTCGATTTGTCAGAATAACCCCAGAACTGTGATGCAGTGCTCAGAAATCAACAGCGCTTCTCTCCCCAACCCTAAGTAACCGCTATCACTACCCCTGAGCCCCTGAAACAACCAGCGCTACCCGGATACAGCCTCCAGAGGGAAGCGCCACCCTGAAACAGGCCTCTGAGGCTAAGCGCCTCTCAGAGGATGAAGAAGAAGACCAGTGCCACAGTCTCTGATGATGATGAAGTGCCAGAAGACTTCCCGGATGGAAATCTGTAGCAGCGCCACCTCTCCTGACAAAGATGATCTCTGAGGATGAAAGATGCAGCTATGGCTGCAGCGCCGCACACCCTGACACCCTACTCCTGAGGAGGGTTCAGCAGGGCACCAACTTCTCTCGCCTCCAGCAGACTTCAGATAGCCCGGACCTGTAAACAGCCCCGCGTGCTGTCAGAGAACAGCACAGGTCCCAGCTATGGCCGACGCTTCGAGGGTCCAGCTATGTCTGTCTCCACCAACGCTGAAGCTGTACCACCACCAGGACTGACTGGACTTCTTCTCCCTCTTCTTCTTCTTCTTCTTCTTCTTCTTCTTCTTCTTCTTCTTCTTCTTCTTCTTCTTCTTCTTCTTCTCTTGTGTGGTGCACAACAGTTTTGAATCACCATTTTTCAATGAATTTGATTTTATCATGTTAATTGTGCTGACATCTTTGTCTTTTTATCCCTGTTATTTGTGGACTGCAACAGGTATCGGATCACTCTGTTCAACGAGTTATATTATTTGGTTGCAGGTGGAAGCATATGGATAGGTAAACGTTCACCGCGATGACCTCCTCTTCCCTCCCCTTCTCGCCCCTTCTCTCCCCTTTCTCCCTCCATGGACTGCTTTACTCTCCTTTAGGGTCCCTTCTAGAGTCCACAAATCCCTGATATAGTCATGGAATTCTACAGTGCGGCTGATAGCAAGTCCTTCAGGATATCTGTTAAACTAGAGCGATAGAGAGAAAATCAGCATGGCCCCTGCGCAAGGATGAGTCGGGATGATGCACAAAAATCGAAAAATRGTCCAAAGAAAAAGGAAAAGGAGTGCTGAACTTCAGCTGAAGTATACAGAAAAATGGCTCCACGAGGGTCTTGACAAMGTTCAGATCGACCCTGAACTTGTGAGTGCGTGGTGATAGTCCTTCGGAACATCCGCTAAAATTGGAATTTGGAACGATACAAGGAAGATTACTCCACGCGCAAGAATTACAACCACAAATCACAAGGAGTTCCTGAAAAGCTTACTTGTAATGATTTGAAATCTGAATGCAGATACAAGTCATTACGTTGGGTCTGTGGAGATCAGGTGGCGGTTGGTCATCACTACCATCAATATAGTTGTCCATTACATCTCCCAAGCTGTTTGTCACACATGCAGGTGCTTTGGTGGAACTTGGTTTCAGCATCAGTCCATGCTCTGATCTTGACCAGGACGGAGGAACCTGTCACATATGAATTCGGATCTTCCATGCCCGCTGTTCGCTCTCCTCCTTAAACCGCCAGTACACGGCCCAAGCCTTGTGGAGAAATCGTTCATCACCTACAAATGTTTCGGAGCCTCGGGGCTACCGGACCACAATGGCTGGCGGCGCCAGCCAAAAAAAGAAAAAAGTGCACCGCTGGCGGCTCGGAAAAACTTGGCACGCAGTGGAAGGCCGCTAGGCCCGGGTGTACTGGTGGTTTAAGAGCATACATAGTACGTATGATGGTCTTCATCTGCACGGTAGGGGAAGTTATCAGTACGTATGATGGTCTTCATCTGCACGGTAGGGGAAGTTATCAGGAACCATTTTTTCTTTTCATTTTTAGCACCAGTAGGTCCAGTACCCTCAAACTTGCAGCCAGATGCGCAGAGGTATGCACAGGCCTGCAGAAGGCCGGTCCCATACATCAGACCCGGAAAGTCTCCGAAAGGGTCCCGGTACTCGTGGTTAAGCCGCCACCAGTACGTCCTAAAGTCGTGTCCATATACAAGCTTCGATTTTAGGAAATGTACAGGCCACTACAGGAGCGCCCAAATTCATCCGACTACCGTCTTCACCCGAATTGAACGCCCGGTCATTATCGCTGTATTTTGTGCAACTTTCAGTCCACATACGGGAATAATTACCGGGCGTTTTATTCGGGTGAAGGCGGTAGGAACGTTTCTACTCTATTTTTTTCCGCGGCCGATAGCTGGGTCCAGTACTGGTGGTTTAATGTGCCGCCCCTGAACTTGTGGTATCCACCTGATTCCATCAGGATGATGTGTTCACTAACAGTTACATGTGTGTACCTTTCAGCTCCACGGGATTGGTACCGTCAGTTACATGTGTGTAGTACCTTTCAGCCACATGGGCTCAGTACCTTACAGGAACTCTTATTTCCCATCAAATGTTTTCCTTCCAGCTCCCCTTTTTCGCTTTCTCTGGTGGAAGTTGGTGCCAGGTACTGGCACTCAATTGGTGGCAGCTTGTCACTGCATGTGGAAAGAATTTATTGGCCCTTTTCTTGTCATGTTTCCTCTCAGAATAGAACGTCATTACAATCGGAAGGGATCATAGCTTAGGATAAAAGTTTTCAGAAGACTGTTGATACCCACCCATCGACAGTGTTCTGTCGACCCTCAAAGGCTGACCCAATGTTTTGTGTGGACCGTTGGTTTCAGATGGACCTGTTCTCCCGGAAGAGAGTGAATGTGAGGAATCTGAGGAACCGTGGCTTACTGGGAAGGAAGTTGATGATGCGGGTTATCAAGGAATGACAATGCGCAATCTTACTTCCCAATCGAGGTCGCCATCTTCATCATCACCGACCAGCAGATGCGAGGAGACGTCAAAAAGATCTCTTGGGGGGAAGACAGCATCTCGACTTTCTGATAGCGGGCAAAGTCTGCTACCCAATGGGATGCCGATCTATGATCACGTCAATTGTGTTGGAGGTGAGAATGGAGTAGCAAGAGGGTCCGTTGCTCGGAACAGCAATTCAGAGCTTGCGAGTGACAGAGCTGGAAATGATCCGTGCATGGGGGAGGCGAACAGGATTGTTGCCGATAGGAATGTGTCCAGGTGCTTGGAACTCTCCGAGATGGAGACTGAAAAGAAGCGCGGTGAGAGAACTCAGGATGACAAGACGGAGGCCGAGGAGGAGTCAATTGGGCGGTTCCTGTATCTGGAGGGCATAGAATATCTCATGTGGAATACGTGAGCGCTGCAACCCCAAACCCTGAGACGAGGCATTCCCCCCCTTTCCCCCTCCCCCGTCGTTTCTGAGAATTCTTCCGTTTCTCTTTTGCCCCTTTTCACCTCTTCTTTTCTCCTTTTTTCTATTCTTTAACCGGCAGTACCTTGCACAGGCAAAGGTTTTCAGCATCTTATACATTGTTGCACCCCCCGATGGTCGGCGGCCCTTGACTGGTCGGCTGCCGACCTGCCGACCGATCGGCTTGTCGGCTGCCGACCTGCCGACCGATCGGCTGGTCGGCACCTACCGGTCAGGGGTCGTCGGCMCCCCGCAAAAAAAAAAAAAAAAAAAAAAAAAAATCTTCTTTTTTTGGGGGGTCCAGAACCCCCAATAACACATCCAACACCCCCATAGCGTCCCCCAATACCCCCATACACCCCCCCAAACTGCCCCCAAACCGCCCCAAACACCCTCATTCCCCCCCGGGCCCCCCCAATACCCCCTATACCACCCCTATACCCCCCTATACTCCAACCCCAACCCCCCCATATCCCCCCCATCCCCAAGAGTTTCTCAGCGGATTTGGGCTGTACTCAGCAAGTGCAGTACAGCCCCCAACTCAGATTTGAAAAAAATCAGTGGACGCTTGTTTTTTTTTGTTTTTTTTTTTTTACTGGTCGGCAGACCACCGACCAGTCGGCCCAACTGGTCGGCTGCAATACGGTCGGCAGTAGGGGTCGGCGGTCGGCAGGGATGCAACCCTGATCTTATATACAAATGCAATGTTGCTACAGGGTGCAAATGGCTGGTGGCGCCAGGGCAAAACAAAGAAAGCGTGCCTGCACCAGTTCCTTTTTTTTGGCGAGCACCGAGCAGGGGAAGTCAGGTCGCAAAAAATAGGCTTGGAGGAGTTTTTTTCTCGTTTTTTCGTTTTTCTTTCTTTCTTTGACTTTGTTTGTTTGTTTTTTTCAATGTATGACCAATAGAGCATGGCTCCTTCCGATTTTTGTTGCCGTAGTCCAGTTCCTTTTCGACACCTTCAGTTCATGGACTGTATTAGTCCCATGACTTCTCATCTAATGTTTGGTTATCAATCAGGTCGCGAAAAATAGGCTCGGAGGTATTGATGGTTAAGTTTTTTTCTCGTTTTTTCGTTTTTCTTTCTTTCTTTGACTTTGTTTGTTTGTTTTTTCAATGTATGACCAATAGAGCATGGCTCCTTCCGATTTTTGTTGCTGTAGTCCGGTTCCTTTTCGACACCTTCAGTTCATGGACTGTATTAGTCCCATGACTTCTCATCTAATGTTTGGTTATCATTTTGTTTGGGTTACCATTTTGAAACGGTATTCACCAGTTCGCAGTAGCCGATGCAGATCCCAGGGCTCGATCCCTAGTCCCCACCTTACCTGTGTACAGTATCTGTGTCGACCCCTAGAGTTGAACCCGTCACCTGCGTATTTGTAACAGTTGGTAGACTGTCGTAGGGTCCATAGGTAGCAGGCGTTCGATCTGTAGACCTGTCGAGTAGGAGTCTTAGTCAGGTCTAGAAGTCGTAGCTGTAGCTTTCCCGAAGGGTCAAGGTCGTAGCTGCTACAGTCGAGAAAGGCCAAGGTCGTAGCTGCTACAGTATCGGAAGGCCAAGTCTACAGCCTTCCGGAAGGTCCGAATAGTGGCCTTTCGAAGTTGCCCATGTTTAGGCTGAGGCAAGTGGGCAAGTGGTGGAGTCTACCCGTGCTGAGTCAGCAGTCCCTGTCCCAGTCCCAGTCAGTCCTAGTCCAGTCAAGCAAGTACCGCATGGGCCTGTGTGTACTACGGGCATGGGAAAGGGCCAGACCAACGAGCTGCAGAAGTATAAATCAAGAGGCAGCGCCCAGTCATTCATTCATTCTTGCGTGAGCCATGCAGAAGGGCTGCCACAGCGACTTGTGCTAGGTGGTCTGCAGTGAGCCCGAAGACGAAGTGGGCTACAGAGAAGGAGCGTAGCCATGGCGATAGGGTAGCAGCGGCCATAGCCGCCATAGCTGTAGATAGAGTTCAGTGTGTGTGTGTGTGTGTGTGTGTGTGTGTGTACAGAGTATCGTGTGTGGAATATCCAGGGTGATCCTGTGTGTGCGAACAGAGTTATGTGGGCGCTGTGACGCCATAGCCATCTGGAGTGAACTTGTATCTGAGCTGCGTTTTGGTTGCCATATCTCTGAGTTTTGAGTGGGGTTGCCAGTTTGCTGTGCACCTGTCTGCATGCATGTAAACTGTGAATGAAAGCGAGTCTGATTGCATTGGTATCAGAGCTGGTACCCGCTATTCCACGCGCGATGTCGTGTGTCACAGGGAGAGTTACGCGCCACAATGGAGGTCGCCATCGGAGAGAAAGTCCGCCATAGCGGACCCGGAGGTTGAAGAAGCCACCGTGCGCACCTGCAAAGAAGACCACGACGAAGAGGAGAGAGAGAGAGAGAGAGAGAGAGAGAGCGAGGGAGAGAGAAAGGTTGAGCGATACAAGATTGGTTTACTACGTACCTGCGTTGAAGACATCGCTACGGTGAGAGAGAGAGAGAGAGAGA